TGAGAATCTATGGTTTGTCCGGTTGATGGTCGTAGTATCCTGGGTTTTATACTCTTTGCCTTCTTCAGGCCTGAAGACCACCATTGCTCACGGTCGGTAGAGCCAGAGTTTGCGGAACTAGTGGACGTTCGTGAAGTATGGATGGAGTTTGACCTGATGGATCGCTCTTTGGTCTTTCGCTCCCTCCGCGCTCCAACACTCTCCGCCTCTTGATCCAGTGGTAAGTCGGTTGCGAACATGTTTGATCACAGTGGCGAGTCTAGCGGAGTGCAGCGGGGCCACTATAAGTCGATCTTTCAAGGGGTGGGAGCGAATGATCGACTGAAGGCTATCCAGCACTCAAGGCTAGCCGCACCTCTCGACGGAAAAGTAGTCAAGTACCTGTGTGGAGGGTGTCGCAACCGTAAAGCGAGTTACGCAACGGTCCCATGTTTCCGCGGCATCGAAACGCTGTCGCACCACCCGGACCGTGGCGTTATTGACCTTTTTAGGACTACTATCAGGGCTTCCCTAATCCGAACTCATGCGCTAGTGCCCTGCCGTGCTTCCTTCACGGCGCAAAACCACTAAGCGCACCGTGAGCTTTCGGGTTGTTGACCATACTGCTGGGGAAAGATACACCTACACGTGGTATGAGCGTGCAAAGCAACGCCTCTTCCATTCGGTTCTTCCCCGAAAAAGCAAATACTCGGGTTGTACAACAATTGCGACTGGCTGGCTTATCGGGCTCACTTTTCCAACTTTCGGTGTCTCCGCCCAAGGTTTTGCAGAACCGCTTGTGGCTGGATACGATTCGCACATGCCAACATGACGGCTGCTAGGTTGAATAACCGATATGATGCCGCCGACCTTGACTTGCACCCGCGGGCTACGAATTGCAAACCCAACTAGGCCGGCGATCACAGCTGATCCCTCTGATCAGTGCCGTAGGAACAAGGGCGGACACCGGTGCCATGGACAAAATCAGCTGCAAGGCCGCTGAACCGCCAGGGCGGAGTGAACTGTAAGTGATCTGCCCTTAGTTGCTGTCTGTGTTGTGACTGTTGTCAGAAGCAATCGGCAAGGGAGAGGCACAAGGTTCTACTAAGGCTTTTAGTCGCCCCGTCATTTTGCTGCAGATGCGGGAGGGGCACCAGACATCATCCCTTTGGCCAGTCATGATGCAGCCTGATCGACATCGGGCGTGCCTGACTAGCGTTAGCTAGGCTCCCCGGCCCCTGACTCGCTTCCGTCAAGCCACCAGAGTACGAGCCTAGACTGCCACACTCCAGCACGCTGCACGAGTCTCCGCTTCAGCTGCATGACAACGCTCCTGCCGCCGTTCAATTCACTTGTACTACGCTTGCGGCGGCCGTCCTAGGTTGTCATGCCGTCACTCCGTCCAAAAGCTTGTTAGATCGTGCTTTTTTCCCTGCCGCGCCGCATGCCTACCCTCGTCGTTCCCACCCATCCCTTACGGTTGATATCACATCGCCTCGAGTGTGATGTATAGCCAGCTCGCCCTGTCGTCGATACTTTTCATTGCATTTCTGGAAGGCCCTTTGCTTATGGCCCCACCTTAAGCGATCGCATTGGCGATTGATCAATACCATATACCTTTTCGTTCCGAATCGTTCATGTTTGCTTATACCGGACGTGCGTGACACAAATATAGTCAACGCAGGGCTATCTGCTGCCGATCACTGCATCTCTTATACTGGAGATTGAAACCCCCAACTGGCGGCCAACTTCACGTCTGCAACATGGAGTCCATACGTTCCTCAATCCACTCGTTCAACATCTACGTCGGCCGGTCGACTTTCGGCAGGATATTCCGTCTCTCTGGTTGTGGGCATGTATGTTCGACCCTTGTAGTAATATCTCAAACATGACTGACTGTCTCCGCAGAAAGATGAGATCCTGCATACGAAGTTCACCACCGAAGTGCGGGCAGGACTTACGTCCTTCTTCACAATGGCATACATCATCGCGGTCAATGTAAAGCTCTCGAAGGATCATGTCTCGCAAAAATACTAACGAGCCTAGGCTACTATCCTCGCTGATACAGGCGGTAATTGCGTGTGCAATGATGCCACAGACCCTCTGTGCTTAACGAACACGGAATACCTCATTTGCAAGCAGGGTAGGAAACGTCCTTACTCTCAACAACTTCAGCTGATCCAAGCTCAGATTTGAACCGCAACCTCATCACCGCTACAGCTGCCGTAGCCGGCTTCAGCTCTTTCCTCTTTGGGTTCTTCACCAACATGCCCGTGTGTCTTGCACCGGGTATGGGCCTCAACGCATACTTCGCCTACCAGATCGTCGGCTTCCATGGCCAAGGGCTCATCTCCTACAACCTTGCGCTCACTGCTGTCTTTGCAGAGGGCTTCATATTCATCTTCTTGTCCTTGATTGGCATGCGACAATGGCTCGTCAAGATCATACCAGTATCGCTCAAGATCGCCGCGGCATGTGGTATAGGACTCTTTCTTGCAGAAGTCGGACTGAGCAACAACGCGGGCATTGGTGCCATTGCGGGCTCAAAGAGTACCCCACTTGATATCGCGGGGTGTCCTGATCAATACAAGGATGAGTTTGGCTCATGCACAAGTCACAAGATGACTTCACCCACTGTAGGTCATATGATGCCGGCTCACCAAACATTGCTAACATATCTTGCAGATGTGGCTAGGCATCCTTGGTGGTGGTATCTTGACAGCCTACTTGATGACATACAAGGTCAAGAGCGCCATGATCCTAGCTATTTTGCTTGTGTCGATCATTTCATGGCCGTGAGCTTTTTTCATCATCTCAGTCAAGCTCAGAAGGCTAACATGCATACAGACGAGGCACTTCAGTCACTTTCTTTCCCTACACTGAGGTCGGCGATAACCGCTTCGAGTTCTTCAAGAAGGTCGTGGACTTCCATCCCATCAACCGCACATTGAACGCCCTGGACTGGAACGTCAACGCAGCACCTGGCCATTTCGCACTCGCTCTTTTCACTTTCCTATATGTTGACATTATCGACTGCACAGCTACGCTCTATTCGATGGCACGTTTCTCAGGGGTGGTGGATGCAGAGACCGGAGACTTTCCGCGATCAACGATAGCCTATTGCACAGATGCTTTCTGCATCTCTATGGGCGCACTTCTCGGCTGTTCACCCGTCACGGCCTTTATTGAGAGTGGAGCAGGAATTGCAGAGGGCGGGAAAACAGGACTGACTGCCATGACCTGTGGTGTCTGCTTCCTCATTTCGATGTTCTTCGCACCTATCTTCGCTTCGATCCCACCATGGGCTACTGGAAGCACTTTGGTTCTCGTAAGTCACCTGGCACCACCTCCATATTGCTAGCGTTAACGTAAATATAGGTTGGTTGCCTGATGATGCGACAAATCTCCTCCATCAACTGGCGATACATCGGCGACGCCGTCCCAGCCTTCGTAACTGTAATGTTCATCCCATTCGGATACAGCGCAGCCTACGGTCTTATTGCGGGCTTGATGGTGTACACAGCGCTCAACGGCATGATCTATTTGACAAAGCTTATATCCGGCGGATACATCGTTCCCGAAGACGAAGATAATCGTGAATACTGGACTAGTAAGTTTCATCACATCGCGCGTCCCATCTCGCCGCACTTTCCCATCATCAAATACCAGCCGCTAACTCAGGAACCCAGTCAAACCCGCCGGCAGACTCCCCTGGTTCATCTCCGCATCCCAGAACCTTGCCGATCGCGTGCGGGGAAACGACAGGAGACAAAAGTCCCCGGATGCGCTCTCCATCCGAAGCACGGAGTCGGAGTGGAAGTACCATGATCGCATTGGCTCGAACGGATCGAATCGCGAGCTCGACTCTGTCGTCATTCAAGCCTTGCCCACTGATCCTCGTCGGGAGAAGGTTTTCAGGTCCATGGGGAGATGACGGCGCCTGTGATTGGCAGGGGAACTATCTTGTTGATTTAGAGTTTCGCGCTTGTGAAATGAAATACCACGAGTCATTTAACACTGCGTTCGAGGCTACTATTTTCTGCCCATGCCGTTATTTCGATGTCATGGCATTTGATGATTAGAAAACCACATTGAGCACTGGTTCGACGTCGGTGCATCCCGCACGTATGGGGGTGGTATGGACTTTGGCTCACGATCTCTGGGCCGGGTCAACGCCTTCGCTCGACTTTTGGTTCGGGTCCGCGGCATTGATACTAGTCTAACTTTGCTCCAACCCTCCCTCTTCCCCAACCTCATTCAGGCGACAAGAAGCAAGAAAGTAGCACTTTGCCCAGCCAGGGAAACTCAGCGAGACACTAGGCAGTCTCTCCGAGATCGACTCATTACTTTCTTGCTTTTTTGCTTCTAGCCTTGCTTGCCACGAAAACGAGATCTACAAACTCTAAGGTTGGCGCAATGCCTTCCGAGCCGCGGATTCGCAAGCAGCACGGCTGGGGTGCAGATCACTGCCCTGTAAGAAGGGGTATGCAGCGGCACTTGACGCGTAAGTAGAGCACTACCGCTTGTCTAACAACAGTCCGCAACCGAACGTGCATTGTCTGATCATGCCATCATCGAAAGTGTCGGCGCGTCTTTATCGATAGTAACCAAAAAGCAATTCAACTGACAATTCCAACTCCACAACGCCTCTCGTGTATCTGAGGAAAACGAATTGCAACTACCTAGGTACCCTTTCCCAGAATAGCACATGCGTGCGGGACTCGCATTAACGTCGACTCTCTCAACTCTGGTACGGGTCTGCGGCATGTGTACCCAGCTCAACGTCGAAAATCACATTGCTTTTTGTAAGGCTGAAAAAGACAGTTGTATGACATCTCGGTAAGTAAGCATAAGCTTGCCTCGCTTCCACCGTCGTCGTCTTCCCAAAGTGGGAATACTCCACACCCATCGCAGAAACCCAAACTAACCCCAGAGTGTGTATAGCGACCTCTTCTCGTACCCACTCTCGCTTCTGCAACACCAATTCGCGTCTGCACGTCTTTCTTTTCCCTTATCTCAACTCAACACAGCATGCCGCCATCGACCTGCCACACAGAGCCAGTAACGTAGCTCGCATCGCTGCTTAGCAGGAACTGGATGATTTTCGCTATCTCAATAGGGTCGGCGCGTCGGCCGAGCACGGCGTTGTTCGGGAGTTGGAAGCCAAGTTCTGTATCGAGGGCGTCCATGAGGGGTGTGTTGACAAAGCCTCTAAAGTAGCGTCAACGTCAGCGACCGGCTCTCCTCTAGGGGTACTATTGCGCGCGCGAGGACGACCTAGGAGAACACGGAGAGAGTTCCTTTGAGTGGTGGAAAGATGAACTTACGGTGCGATGGCGTTAATGCGGATTCCAGTGTGCTCCTGCTCCCTCGCAGCAGCTTTTGTGAGCCCAACGACGGCATGCTTCGAGGCGCAATAGACGGAGCAGTTTTGCTTGCCGACAAGCCCTGTTATCGACGCAGCGTTCACGATCGACCCGCCTGGCACACCTGAACTTGCCACACGCATGTTGCGCAGCTCGGCTGACATACAATTGAACGTGCCTCGGACGTTGACTGCGAAGACGGCCTCGTAGTCGGCGGCGTCGAACTTCGCCGCAGTTTCGAGTCGACCTGAAATTCCTGCGAGGTTTACTGCGCCTACATTATGCTCATGTCAGTCAAAGCACTCATGCAGATGTCGACTTCGCCAGACACATTCATGCCTTGAAGACAGAACGTTGACATACCGTCGATTTGCTTCAACCCAAACCTCGTTGGCGCATGCGCCAGCCAATGCTCTACCTCTTCCCTAACTGTAACGTCCACCTTCGCCCATATCGCACTCGCCCCAAGTTCTCTCGCGAGCTGCGACACTGCTTCTTCGTTCTTGTCCCCCAACGCGACCTTTGCGCCGCTTCCAACGAGTAGTGTAGCCGTCGCACGTCCGATACCTGACCCTGCCCCGGAAATAGCAAAGAGCTGCCCCTTGATACTATAGGGGGGCCCAGACCATCTCTTCTCTTCGTTTGAGGATGGGCGCGGGTCCTCAGGCATGGTACGGTCGGGCGATGATGATCGTCTGCGATGGAGAGTGCGGCAGGGAAGGCGATAGGGATGTGCGCGAGTGCTAGACTCGGGAAGATGCCGAGACGACGTTATCGTGGCGGCTTCTGTCTAGAGGTATAGCTGTTGATTCGAAACGTGCGAAATGATGATGTGATGACCTTAGCGATAGGTATATCTGTTGACGTTCGGCGCCTATTCACGCACGGGAAGCTGTGAAGTGTGGTGGGATGCTCGGCAGCATTCGCGCCTTCAGACCTCGGGATGCCTGGATATGTATGGGCAGGCGCCATGCGGTGTGTTGCAGCACGACATCTTGTGCTGGACGGCGGTGACGATGCACACTCTGATGCACTGCAAGTGTGGTGGGCTCAAGGCTTGATTGGGCAGTCTCATGCAGGTCGAGAACTCCAGGCGCCGTGCTATACCGTTGAATGGATTGTGTAAGAATTTCGACAAGTAGAAATCAAGAGCTTGTTCGCGCTGGATGTCACGATGCAACTTGGCTGTGATATCGTGGCTGTCTCACGTAAGCCAACATGGGGTGCAATTCGTATCGCGTTGCTCAGGTTTGTCGAACGCATACTACTATTTCTTGACAAGTAAACATTCTATGAGATAATGTGACCTTCTAGCGGGGCATTGCCTTTAGTGGTTGTTCTGGTGAATGCGGCATGAATCTAGCATCCTAGGTGCTGTAGGGCTAACGACATTATCTCCAGGCTTCCAAGGTTCTCGGGCCACACGACGTCAAATCACAACTCTCTCACAACTCATACTTCACCAACACATCTCTCGCCTCCGCAAATTCCCTTTCAAGCACTCCCTCGCGTCCCTCTCTCACCCGTATCTCGCATTCAAAATCCTTCGGCGTCCTCACAATACCATCCATAAACCCAGTGTTAGGATCGATGTCAATAGGCTTCCCAGGCTTCTCTTTGAACTCGAAGGCCCAAAGTAGTTTCGCAATAGCAATGAAGAGACTGCGCTCAGCAAGATGCATGCCAGGACAAATACGACGACCAGCACCGAACGTGAAGTGATCTCGTGAGGCAATGTCGGGAGATGCTGCGTACTGAGCTGAAGTGTGCGTACGCGTTTCGTAGCGATCAGGATTGAAACCCGACATTGGGGATTCACAAGTGTCGACATCGCATGGGCCATGGTTCAAGGCCCAGACGTTCATGAGAACAGTCGTGCCCTTCGGGATGAAGTAGCCGTCAATCGTGTCATCTGCTTCACATTAGCCACGGTTGATTCATAATCCGAGCGGAGCGAAGGATACCAGCGGTGGTAGAGCGCATTATCAAGGCCGCAAGAGGTCTCCATCGCATGACCTCCTTGATAATCTGCACGACATAGGGTAACCTCGCGACATCGCTCCACCCGGGCGATCGCAAGCTTCCCACCACCTCATCAACATGCCTGTGTGCTCGTTCCTGAACATCCGGATACCTAGCCATCGCCTGAATGAAGACTCGTATAGCAGACGCCGTCGTGTCACTCCCGGCATCGATCAGCGACCCAGCAAAAACATCCAAATCTCTTCTCGTAAGATCAATCCCCTTCTCGCCCTCATCCAGCACATAGTCATATACAGTCGCCGCACGCATACCCCGTTTCCTCCGCTTCAACACCGGCTCCGCCATCTGCGTAAACGCTGCATTAACCGCCCTCGAAGTCTCCTCGCTCTTATCCTTCCAATTCTTCCAGCGTCCAGTCCATATCCTCTGCGGCACATGTACCAACCACGGTAGCAAATCGACCGGCGGTGTTGCACCAACCTCAAGCAACGCAACGTACTTGTCAAACCAAGCCTTATACTCCTCCAGCTGCTCCGCATGTCTCGTTCTTGTCCCGTAAACCAGACTCTTGATAGTGCTATTCGCGAACCTCAGTGTATGCCCCATGAACTCCTCGGGCTCTTTCACAAAATCACACAGCATCTGGCTAGCCTCCGCGTCCACAAGTCCGATGTACTCTTTCTCTACTTTCGCCTCGTTGAAACACTGCGCCAGTAACTTGCGGCATAACCTCAGTTTCTCGCCCGACGGCATGAAGACGACTAGAGGCATATTCGCGGGATCGCGCGCGATGTACTTTGTTGCAAAGACGAAGGGTGGGCGGCTGCTGTATGTCGTTCCCCTTTTGTCGATGAGCTCGCGGACGAGGCGCCGGGAGCTGAGGACGATGGTGGTGGTGTGGAAGAGCTTGAGGCTGTAGATGTTGCCGTATTGGGAGGCCCATTTTGTGAATTGGAATTGGGCGTTTTTGGTGGGTATGGAGAGGACGTTGCCGAGGAGGGGGAGGGGGCGTGGGCCTAGATGGGTGGGTTAGCTTTGGGATAGGATGGGATAGGATGGGATAGGATGGGATAGGATGGGGTCGGGGATTGGGAGGGAGGTACCGGGTGGTAGATGGGCTTCTCGACGTCCTATTCTGAGGATGTAATAGAGTCCTATGACTGAGATGGCGATGCTTATTGCAGCTAAAGTACCCATGGTTCAGATGTGGGTTAAACACGTTGTTGTCCCACCAACAAGGCAGACTGAAATGGCATCGAACCTCGCCATATATACCCTTTGTTTCTTCACTAGACGTATGATCGCTCTCTTCTACATGCAGGCTCTGGTTACACGTCTGGCGGGGTAAGTTGCATTACCACTGTGTCGGTAGGCAATAGACACCCATGACCTGTTGTGTGAAGTCCAATCGCATGATGAGACCGTACACGGAGACATCGATCGATAAATAATGCACAACCGCCAAGGCATGCGTATGCCAACCATTGTACGCGAAACTCGTCTCTCCGAAGCGGTGATTGGCGGTCATTCGTGTAAGCAGGAGGCACAACGAAAACAGCCTGTAATGGTGAGTAAGCCACGCTTCTGCAACAACTTTCGAGAAGATGTAATCAGGAGACTTGAAATGTGGAGAGTAAGAAATTATCTGGTATTATGCTTGAACGAGAAAAGTAAAGCAGCAACCACATCGTAGACATCCATCATCACTGCGATAGCACCCTACAACAGCGCACCAGCAAACGCCGACATGACAAGCATCCCCAGCATACCCACCGCAGTCTTCGACACACCCACATGCACCGCAGCCCCCGTATCCGGCTTCCCATCCTCACCCGTCGCATCCGGCCCACTGCTACCCGTGCGACTCGCACCACCACTAGGCGTGCCCGTCGCACTCGCAGTATTATTCCCCGAGCAAAGGATATCCCTCGGATTAACCCCGTTGTCCATGAAGCAAGTCCGCAGATCAGCAACGGTCTGTTCGTAGCTGAGACAGTAGTATCCGCAGGAGCCATTAAATTCCTCGACCGGTGCGTCTTTGCAGCATTGTTTGAGTGCGGAGGACGTGTTGGACGCGACGCCCGTTGTGCTGCCTACGCCGCAGAATATGTCTTGGGTTGGGAAGACGGAGAAGTCGGCTGTGGTGCACGAGGTGCTTGTTGCGGTTGCGGCGGCGGAGGAGGATATGAGGGACATCTTGGAGAGATGAAGGTGAGGTTTGCAGGTTGGGTTACTGGAGTGGTGGTTAGGAAGGTGGTGTGTAAAGGATGTTCAAGGACTTACATTGGGTATGTTTGAAGGTATTGTAGTAGTCTGGCAGCGAGTACCAACGTTCTCTCGTGCAACTGGAGTGTACAGGTAAGTAGTCGGACAATTGTTAGTGATCTAGCAAACAGGGACGATTAAACGGTCAAGAAATATCCGCAGGGCCAGAGCCAGTGCCAGTGCCAACGGCTTAGCGCACGTCACACGATGCTTCCAGCAAGATCCATGAGGCCATGGCTCTGCCCTGTTCTGGTTCCAAGGCCCAGTTGTTGACCTGAGGCAGTGGCGCGTTGCTCGGAGCGGTGGCTCGTGGCTCCACTTGGTTGCTCAGGGGACCCGCGTTCGACAGGTTATTTTTGGAGTCGTGACGGACCTTTCGGCAGCTGCGTGCCGAGGTGCAATCACGGCGTGGGCCGTTTTCTTGCTTGGAAGACATGTTTGTATGAGGGCCTATGGCAAAAGCCGAGGTTGTGCTGTCGCATCGTGTTGTTGCTTGTTGAATCTGGGGATTTGGGAGATGCCGCGCGCTTTGGCTTGATGAGGATAGCGTGGCGTATGGCTCCGAGGTCACGGCGAGAAACATGCTGCATCCATGATCGTGCTTACTGAACCAAAGTTTATGTCGACTTCATGTAAAAACTTGCTCTTGGAGTCAATTGTGATGCCTATAATATATGCAACGAAGTTTAAATACCCTCTTTTACTCGAGTCCAGCCAACTCCATCTCGGTGGCAGCGTACATGAACGCACCAGCACCCTTACCATCGTTGGTCAGCGTCTCAACACCGGTGTAGTACTCGTACGACGCATCGCCCTTCAAACTTCCCACAGTAACCGTGCCGGTGAAGCTGATGGTGCCGTTCTTCTCGTACTGGATGAACTCGTCCAACATCAGATCCCACGCCTTGGACGCAGTCTCCTGGTACTTCTTCTCCAACAACCCGAGCCTGACACCCTTCATGTACGCGTAGGTGAACATGGCGGTGGCGCTCGACTCGATGTAGTTGCCTTCCCTTCCAGCAAGCTCCGGGTCCATGAGCAGCCACCATCCGCCGCTGGTGTCTTGCACGTCGTTGATACCAGAAGCGAGCGTGACGAAGTAGTCGACGAGCTTGGAGTAGCCCTTGTGTGTCTTGGGGAAGACCTCTAGAACCTCAACAAGCGCAACGAAGTACCATCCTAGAGCACGGTCCCAGACGTATGGGGAGGCACCGGTCTCTGGGTCAGCCCACACAGTCGATTTGTCCTCGCTGTAGCCGTGGTATAGAAGGTTGGTTGTCTCATTTCGGCAGTGCTCCTCGATCAGATCGAATTGCAGCTCGATGTCGTTCCAGGCTGTGATGTTGTTGGGCTCGAAGTACGATGTGTAGGTCGCGTAGAAGGTATCAGCCATGTAGATGCCGTCTAACCACATCTGATTCT